TGTGTGTGTGTGTGTGTGTGTGTGTGTGCGTGTGTGTGCGCGCACGACCAACGTGCTCGCGGTGCAACGGCGTCAGAATGTCTTAAATGTGCCTATCTGCTACCCCGAGATGAGTGTTTCTCACCTGGGTCATAAGGTCCTAAACGTGTGAGGCAGTCCAGTTTCCCTATATCCTCCCGAATGCTTGCCGTCTTTTGTATACCTGAGGCTGGGTTCCTCTTGGGCTGGTTCAGGTGACTTGGACCATTGCAGGTAGTATTGCACACAGACGTAACTCATTTTTGACAACTTTTGCTATGCTCTTACTGAGAATCCCACCAGAGCAGATTTTGGCTTGGCAGTGGCAGAGGAAAGCGTTAGGTCACTGGAAGTAACTCTAGGGGATGGATTTGTCGAGGAAGGTGTGGATGTCGTTGTCGTCGTTGTTGTTGTTGTTGTTTTTGCAACGGTTGTTATTGGTGCTGCGGTTGTTTTTGTTGTTGTTGCTGTTGCAACGATTGTTGTTTTTGTGGTGGTTGTTGTTGTGGTTGTTGTTGCTATACATGCCCACAGCATTGTAAGCTAGTAGTTGTAGTTAATGTAGTGTAGTTTTCCCACAATATTGAAGAGGCGGATGATTGGAGTGCGCCATTGGTAGGTCCTACTTCATGTCTTTTCCTCTGTTATTTCTATCAATCGGTCTTGCTACCTCCCTGCACTTTGACCGTTGTTGTATCTATGTACTCCTCTTTACTCCTATTAAAAAATTCCCACGATAGCAAGTCATATAAACGTAATTTCTTCGTATTTGTGGGTGGTTGGCATGAGTTCTGGAATGGCTTGCATCTTCTTTCCTATCGAGCATCTATGGCCTTTTGCCCTACACCTTCTTTTTGTATTTTACTCAATTATAAAATTTCAGTCTTCGGCATTTATTTGACCTACTTGTGTTGCAAGTGCCGTAAAACTTAAGCTGAAACAAAAACGTAAAATGCTGCGTGGCCTTTAATTTTGCTTCATCTGTCCATCCAAAATTCTGTCAAGAGTAAAACCGGGTGTAAGCTCCTAAGTCGACATGCGACACGCCGAAAGTGGCTACTCAGGAATAGTGGTCGGCTAGTTTTAGTGTCAGAGATTATGAGAACATGTCGTGTTTTTGTGGGTTTTTAAAATAATTTTTTTGGTCTCGACTCTAGTTGCACTCATACATTCTCCTCCCCCCTCCTTCCACTCGTTTTCTCTTGCCTTAATTCTCCCCCCCCCACCCCTTTTTCTTTCTTTCTCTCCCCCCCTCTCTTTCTTTCTCTCACTCACGCACTCACTCGCTCAAACTTACGCCCGCTGGTGGTTGGCAGGTGCTCTAATGCGGTTTGCTCCATCTTTCCTGTCCAACATCCCATTGTCCTAATCTGTCTCTCTTCTTCTTTTTTGTGTATGTTATTGTGGTGTAAGTGCCGTGGAACTCTTACGAAAGCAAAACAACAACAACAAACAAACAAACTTCCACCCACCTCCCTCACCCTCCCCCCTTTTTTTAATTTTTTAATTTCAGCTCCCTGAGCCCCAAAGACATTGACGTTCGCATGCTGCGTCCAGCCGTTCGCCACTCCCTGCGCTACTACGGGGAGGCCCCGGGGATGTATCACAAAGGGGAGGAACCCACCACATCCCATCATCGCAGTTCAGCACCGGTGCTAACCGAGCACACGGACGCACAGATGTATGAACACATAGACTCGCGCGGGAACGCACTCAGATGCGCACGCCCGGATGTACGGGGCGACAACTTCTTGGAAGAGTTAGAAGATGCCATCTACGCTAGGCCTAATGTGTACAGAGCTCACGCACCAGTCGATGATGCTAGTCGTGAGTTATCTTCTCCTCGCTGCTGTCTTTACACTTACTTGAACGTATATGTACAGTTAACGTTACGACTATCTTTGCATCAATCTGTCTTTGAAACAACCTTTGTATCTACTGCATTGATCTATCTTTGCAACGGTCTTTCTATGCATTTATCTTTCTTTGCTACTACTATCTCTGCAACTGTCTCCTCATCGATTTTTCCAACGGTCTCTGAAACCATCTTTCTCGTACCTACATTCTCAACTGTTTTCACACAATGCCGCAACCTTCTTTTTACCTTCAAAACTATCATGAGAACTAGGTTACTAACTCTTCTACTGTTTTCTACAACTATCTTTACCACTGTCTTTGTCATTTGACTATCTTTATAACTGTCTTTATAACTTGACGATCTTTGCAAATATCTGTGCAACTTGGCTTTCCTTGGGGTCATCTTTGCAACTGTCATTGTCATGTCGCAGTCTTTGCAGCTTGGCTGTTTCTATAACTTAGTATTCAATCAATTAAACAATTTCATTATCTTTGAAGCTATATTTAGTACTTGCACATGGCCATCTTTACAACCATCTTTGCGGTTTTGTTCAGCAGTGTCTTTAATGCCATGTTAACATGTCTTTTCAACTATCTTAATTCTTTTTTTGTAGCTGTCTCTATATCTTGACAACCTTCTCTTCTACCTTTACAATTGACATCTTTGTAACTATATTTACTATCTTTACAACAGTTACTGTCTATAACATATCTTTGCAACTATAGGCTGTCTAAAAAGGCGACCCATTTAAAGTGCACGTTTCCTTCCATTTCAACAAAACTTTGAATAATTAGAATTCAGTCAACGGAACGTCACGCGTGTTAGTTTAAAGAACGTTGACGCAAATGTTCGAGAGTAATCATGCTTTTAAAATTTCAACCAAAACTGAAGGAAACGCAAAACTTATCAACTTTTTAAGAATCAACCTTTGTGTCTATTTGTGCATTAAAGAATGGATATTGAAACTGTTATGGCCAAACATACCCAGGGAAGTGGTGGCTATTTATACTATATTATTATGCTCCAGGTGTTGACTGCTCGAAATGTTTTACTTAAACTGTGGGATGTTTCTGTGTCGATTCTTTGGACCTTCTGTTCACAACTGAGTTTCAACTGTTCGATTGTTTGCGGGGTGTTTCTAAAGACTTAAAAACAAAACAACAACAACAACAACAACAATAACAACAATAACAATAACAACAACAAAAACCACCACTACCACCACCACAACCACCACCACCAACAACAACAACAACAACAACAACGAAACCCCCAACACAAAACGAAAACAGGCCAAAGACAGCAACAAGCAAGCTCCCCCCCCCGGCACTGTCGAAAAAAGAAGGAAAGAACCCAAAGGAAAGCTTTGCAATTTGAATACGGTGGGTCATCTTTTTGTTTGACACACGTATTGTCTATGGTTCCATAATGCACGATTACCGATGGTCCATTTTGCACTTTGCACTCAGTGTTCTGAGAATGCTTAAAGGCGTTAAACGTGTCCTTGGCGTGCACAAGCTGAGATTCGTGGTAAACCATCATTTCATAACATAATGACATCTCTATTGGCATTTGGTAGGGGTATTAACTCCAGCAGACTACACCAAGGCATTCGACAAAGATAGGCACGACAAGATCATCGACATGATAGAAGTCCTCTATATTGACGGGAGGGACTGAAGGATTATCAAGAACATGTACTCTGGGATCAAACCGCTGCACTAAGAATAGAGAATGACATCAGCGAATACATAAAAATTAAAAGAGGAGTCGAGGGATGTGTACTTTCACCAGACTTGTTCTCCCTGTATAGTGAAAATATCATGAGACACATAGAAGTAATGCCAGGCATCTCGATAGAGGGACAAAATGTAAACAGTCTAAGATATGCAGACAACACAGTCCTAATAGCAGAAGATGAAGAACAAATACAGAATCTATTAAATGGCCTAAGCCAAAACATTAAGAAAACTGAAACAAAGGTGATAAGCAGAAAAACTCCAACCGGATCTGTCATATCAATATTAATTATACAGGTGCGAAGTACGGACAATCAATAGACAGCAGGAAAAACAATTGAGGTGACAGAGCTGGGGTTCATAAGACGCATGCTGCGTATCCCATGGACAGCTAGAAAAACAAATGAAGAAGTCTTGGTTAAAGCAAATTGCAGACGACAGCGTATGACGAATGTACGAAAGCGATAGGCAAATTTCATTGGACACACAAATCGGAAAGAAGCATTGGAGAATATTGTAACGACAGACACGTTTGATGGAAAGAGAGGTAGAGACAGACAGAGGGAAACGATACAGGACAAGTTGACAACATGCCTGGGAGCAGCAAGAAAAAACAGAAACCATTGCTGCAACGCAAGACAGAATGAAGTGGAGGTCCTTGATCACCCACACCAGTCGGCGAGGCACGGGATGATGGTGATAAACTCCAGCATTATAAAACAGAAACAGACATGCGCGCACGCACACGTACACAGACAGTCAGACAGACAGACAGACAGATAGACAGACAGACAGAACCCTTCCCCCC